TACACAAAATTATGATAAATGTTTGAAGATACCTAAAAGTATAGTACTTACCAGCAAAAATAGTCGAACCCATATAATTGTCAATGTGCTAAGTGAAATCCAGGACGATGACCAAAAATAACAGATCAATCATTTACCACTCGAATGCAGAATTGCAGATCAGTTCAAATGTAACGAATTCTATGTAACGGCTAAACTTCAGTTTACCTTCTCTGCTTTAACCCAAGTCTCTAGGTTTGTTTTACCGCGTCCAAGTTAGTGTTTAGTGGTCAATACTATCCTAAATAGGGTTAAGCTTTACTTACCCAATGGGTAATTCTGATTTTGCTGTCCCCAGAAATAGTATTAGTACAGTAGCTCCCTAACCAAGTCCCTACTGTCCCAGTCCCATATCAATAAAAAGCAGGATAAAAAGACATTCAGAACAGTACCTAATCATGATTTCACCAATTAGCTCCAAGAAACTCTACATCCACAAATCCGAAGCAACTGAGAATAAGTCATTTATTCCAGTACCCAACTCCACCTTATTAACTGCAAATAATCAATGGCAACAAGAAGAATTATTCTTCACCAACCAAAATGTCTTGGTTTTGAAAATTAATGATCTCAACCTCACTTTATGGAAGCAAACCCATCATGAAGCCAAAATAGTAGAGCTAAGAAGAAAGCTCTGATGCATCAAAACTGTCTGAGGAAGCTCGCAAACAAGAGATTCAAACCAACTATATCCAGAGCACAAGAACATAAATAAATTTGATGGAAAATTTAGAAAGAACATAAATAAATTTAATGGAAAAATTAGAAAATAAGTGGGAGAGAATACATCATTCTGTTTCAGTAAAAATGATTTATAAAGTTAAAACAGAAGATTAAATTAAATCAACAAGCAAAATGGATGAATATATCATGCCCAGTACATAACTGAGGAGAATAGGCCCTGATTAAATGACTATTGTGATCGAAAGCTAATACTGAGACATCGACAATCTCTTGTCTCATTGACTTACTCTACAGAAAAAAGAATGATATTACATATAGCACCAAGATTATTGGGTCTTCCCTCCTTCACATAGAACTACTGTAGCTGATGAGAAGAAATTCAATATAACAAAGACGCTAAGAAAAGTAAGGCTTCAATTTTACAGTCTAGAGCATGTCAGGATGATATAACTAGGAATATAAATTGGACATAAAAATATTTGGAATAGTGTCAGCAGCTATCCAGATCTCTAAAGAATTTTAGGTACTCTGAAAAAGTTGATCAAGAAACACTGAATTTTTTGAGAGATCAGGAAGCACCAATTATGAGGTCTCAATCCAAATGAATTTTTAATCAGATCTGACATAAAATTGTGATTCCTATCCAATTCCAATAATAAGTTTGAGTTCCCTAGGCAAGAAAACGTACCAGATGCATGCTCAAAGATGAAAAAATACTTGGATGAATAAAACTTCATTTGACTGGATATGAAGATACAGGCGAATTCATGTGATAAAAGCTCTGTTTAACAAATTTTTGGTGCAGAAATAATTCAATGTTCCTCTGAATCCTTTCAGCCCGCAAGCACTAGCTTCTCACAAAGGGCAACAACATTAACCAAATATAAAACAAAATAAGGATGATATAACTTTGTTTGACTGAACATACTGAACACGTGTAATTTAGGCGATAAAATGTTGTTTAACAAATTTCTGATGGAAAAAAAATCCAATCTTCCTCTGAATCCTTTTCAGCTGGTAAGCACCGGCACATTGCAAAGGACATCAATCAACACGGGAGGATAAGGAAAGGCGCAAGAATTTGGTTAAGAATTCTCCAAACATTAATTTTATATAAAATTACACATCTGCAAAGTTTGTGCACCACCAACCTAAAAATATGCCAGTACTCTTACCTCTACCAGCAAAAATTCTCCATAAAGCTCACTGAGGAATTTTGCATATGTCCTCATATTCGACACCCTTAAGCAGTCTCCCGTCATAGATACCCTTCTCAATCTGCACTTTCGCACAAAATTTATCAGTATCCACACTCAACAATTTTGCGGTTGACCCACGATAGGCCCCGTTTACTATCTTCACAAGACCCCCAATTTGTGGAATCACTGTCTCAAGCTCCTCCTGATCAACTCTCAGAATATGCTTACTGTCAAGCATTTCAATCTCTCCAACATACTTATCAATCACTTTCCTAACAACTCCCTTCTGCTTGTAATAGCCTTTCTCAGCCAAAGCCTTACTCATCACCTTCACAATTATCCCTTCAAACAACCAATAGTCCTTCCTGTTACTCCTCTCCTTAGCCTTCTCTTCCTCCTTCATCAACTCTTCCAGTGCAGACACTGATTTCTTCTCCTTCTCACTCTTTCCAAAATTCTCACTAGCCTTTCTCTTCTCCGTTCTCACTTTCCTCTCATTCTCCTGCTCTGCCTCAAAAATCCATTTTGAGCTCTCACCCTTCTCTCTTCCTGTAATCTGCTTACCTGCTGACCCAAGTGAGAACCCAACTTTAACCCCACTCTCCAATTTCAACTCCTTACCCTCCAACTTCTCATCACGCTCTAAATTACCATCAATCACAGGTGCTAACTGCTCAGCAGCTTTCTCAATCTGTTTTTGAATTTCCCTCTCATGTTTCTCCTCCTCCGCCAAGTCACTCTTTATGCGCTTGTTTTTTAATTTCTCTTTGAAAATAGTCTCTGAGTCTCTGTCAATGTAAGTGATGAACCATCCTTTAGGAGTCTCCTCCACCTTGCACTTTCCAGTGCGGCCAAGGTACTTAACAAACTCTGTCAAGGTTGCCCACTGAGTTGAGTTCATGTGGACATGGTGGCGATCATTTATGTACTCATTGTAGACAACAGTGGCAGCAACACGAGAGAAACGGTGGCTGCATCGCATGTGATCAAGGAAAGCTCCCTCAAACTCCTCAGAGTATCCATCAATGATTCGAGTTGGATTCTGCCCAAAGACCTGCATCTGACGCTGATGAGACTCGCTCATGCAATGGCACTTGAAGCCGTTCTCATCACGGCACTGCTTCTGGCACATCTGGCAATACCATCGAAGCTTTTGCAGACCCTTTGCCTTGATCCTATTTGCAATTGCCTTTGGAGTAAGAAAATCATTTTTCCCCATTCTTGAGAAAACAAATCTGAAACATAAAAAAGGATCCACATAATAAAAATTGAGAACATTGAATATTAATATAAATTGCATACAACACTTGAAAATACATATATGTAGACATGCTTATTTGATATTTCATATCCATAAAATGAAACGCCCGTAACTCGCCAACCAACAGTAGTGCATTTATCAGCAAAAACAAAAATTAATTTTTTTTTGAGATAAAGCAAAAACAAAAAATAATACAATTGATGATCTTCAATAAACCTGATAAAAAATCAAAACTATAGTAGGAAATGCATGTTATACAACAAATTATCCCATAGCTTAAGAAGATAATTCAATAGGCAATGTGTTGGTAAAAAAAGGCCTACCTCTACTTGAATTATCAATAGCAATGATAACACAAGCAGCCTCCCGAGAAAATTTTAGCCATTCTTATCTTAGTAGCTTTTCCTTATAATAACACTTCATATCAAATCTCGCCTTCTTGGATAATGTCCTAATTGTCCTATCTTCGGCACTTATCAATCTTTCATGTACACAAAGGTTTACAATGAAAGTCAATAAACCTTTTCTCTGTCTATCAAAATTCCAGAAAAAATATTATATCTTGTACTAATTCTTAATCTTCTATCTATATCACTTTTGTCTTAAAGGAAGTTAAATGCAATACCATATTTATAATCCTATGGATATCGAGATACAATAAGTGACCAAAATGGGGAACAAGCCCGGCCTTACTTCACCAGCACATTAAAGCAAAAGATCACTGCATCAAGCCATCAATCGACTACAGAGGGGAAAGAAACAAAAAAGAAAAACCTCCTAATTTTGACAAGCCATAAAACCAGTATCTTGTGTGGTAAATCTTCAAGAATCTTATTCAGGCCTCAAGCAACACCCTCCGCTCCCAACCCCAAAAAGAAAAAGAAAGTTAGTTTTACTTTAAATTCACATATACAATGGTGATTCTGGTTACTGTGCCATAGAGATTTCAGCAAAAATGTGATAGGTCCCAGTCAGAACTTCACACTCAAGTAAGATTTTCTACTTTTGGCGAGAAAAGACCAGAGAAGTTTTTTGGATTTCTTGACTGCTTTATTGATGAATGTAGATGCCTTTAAATAGGCATGAGTACAACTGACTGAATAATTTTAAATAAGAACAGAAGATACAAGTAAATTAAAAATGAATTCAAAAATAATTCCTGCTGCTAAAATTCTGGAGTGGGTAGTAGCTCGTCCGTGATTTTTTGGTAGATTTCTTTCTCTATTGCAGTCTGTGTGGAGCAACTAGATTGATTAGTTATCCAAGTATCTCGGATTCTATTTAGTCTTCCTCTGTGATCTTCGGATCTTATCATCACCCCCCCATTGAGAGCAACCTTGTCCTCAAGGTTAGAAAATTGTTTGGCTAAGTTCTAGGCGAGTTCCCAGGTGGCTTCTTCAGCTGGGAGCTGTTTCCATTTAACCAGGTTTTCTTCAATAATCTTACCACCTCGTTTGATCCAGCGTGTGTCTAGGATGAAGTCAGGTTGGAGAATGATGTTGGCTTTGCCGGTAGTGGCCGATAGATCCTTGGTAGGGAAGGTCGCATCTCTAATTTTCTTTTAAACAGTTATATGTGGAAGACCGGATGAATTCGGGAGTTAGATGACAGTTGGAGCTTATAAGTAACTGGGCTGATTTTTTGCTCTATCAGATAAGGGCCATAAAAATGGCAGACAAGTTTTTGGAGAGCCCTGCGAAAAATGGTCTGTTGGCGATATGGTTGGAGTTTGAGGAAGACTGTTGCTGCATGTGGAGGTTTGCAGCTTGCAAGTTCTGTATAAGTTGTGCGAGCAGCTCATTCCTGTTGGTGAGTTGCTGATCAACTTCGTTGACGGCAACCATGCCCGTTTGGTAGTATGGTATGGTTGGTGGTGGTCGTCCATTCAATGCTTGAAATGGTGTCATGCCAATAGAGAGATGGTAGGTAGTGTTGTACCAGAATTCGACCCATGGAAGCATGGAAAGCCATTTGTTGGGTCGTTGATGAGCTAGACACCGTAGATATTGTTCAACACATTGATTGACCACCTCATGTTGCCCATTGGTTTGGCGATGATATGCAGAACTCATTTTCAGTTGTGTCCCTGACATCTTAAAAAATTTCTTCCAGAAGTTGCTTATGAATATAGGGTCGCGGTCACTTATGATGGAACGTGGCATCCCATGGAGCTTGACTACTCCATCAACGAATAGTTCAGCCACTGTTTTTGCTGTATAAGGGTGAGCCAACGCGAGAAAATGAGTATATTTGCTTAAACGGTTGATAACAATTAGGAAGGTGTTTTTGCCGTTAGAGGAAGGGAGCCATTCGATGAAATCCATGGTGACGTCGTCCCATACTTGACAAGGGATTGGCAGTGGTTGGAGCAGGTCAGTTGGGGAGAGAGTCTCTGTCTCAACTCGTTGGCATGTTTCGCAGGCTAAGACATACTCATGTACGGTCTTTCTCATTGAAGGCTAGTAGAATTGTTGTGCCAGCCTTTTGTAGGTTCGTAGTACTCCAGAATGGCCTCCTAGGACTGAGTCATGGTATGCCTGCAAGAGTTGGTGTACCAAGTGGGACCCATGAGGAATAATTACACGATGCTTGTAGAAGAGTAATCCGTTCTTTCGGTCGTAAGGTTGTCCGGGTTGTTTATCGGCGAGGTCATTGATTTTCTGCATGTAAGGGTGTGTCTGAACTTCCTTTTTAATATCATCCCATAACTATGTTTGCTGAATAAATAAGACACTTAGTGTTGGTCCTGCAGTGTGACAAGATAGGGCATATGCGACTGCATTTTCTTTCCCTGGCTTGTATGTAATCTCATAATCATACCCAAACAACTTGAAAACTCATTTTTGTTGTTCTTGTGTTGTGATACGCTGCTCGAGCAAGTACTTGAGACTGTGTTGGTCTGTCTAGATGAAAAATTTGTGACCCAATACATATGGTCGCCAAGTTTGGACGACGATGACGACGGCTAATATTTTCTTAGCATAAATTAACCAGGCCTGTTTGGATACCCCCAGAGCTTGACTGAGGTAGGCTATTAGCTTCCCTTGTTGTGAGAAGACGGCACCTATTCCATCATTTGAGGCATCCGTCTCAATAGTGAAGGCTTCATTGAAGTTATCCCACTCAGTAAAGCCAACATGGGTGCAGTAGTCAACCGCTTCTTGAGTTCTGTAAAGCTCCTTTTGCAATCATTGTTCCACTTAAACTTGACGTTCTACTTTATAAGTCGGGTCAATGGAGCAGCAAGACTAGAAAATCCTTCTACAAATATGCTGTAATATTCTGTCATTCCTAGAAAGTTACGAATCTCCTTAACCGAAGTCAATTTTTTTCAACCGAATATTGCCTCAACTTTATCAAGATTCATTGACACCCTATCCTTTGATATTATATGCCCTAGAAAGGTAGTCTGTTCATGCCAAAATTCACACTTGCTTAATTTTGCATACAGCTTGGGAAGAGCCAATGTAGGAGTGGAAGTCATTGCTTGCTTTAGTCTTTTGAAGGATTCTTCGGCCTCTAGATTCCAATTAAACTATCCTTTCTTGAGCAATTGGGTCAACAGTCTCGCGATAAGCTCATAGTTCTGCACAAATTTTCCATAGTATCCAGCCAGACCTAAAAACCCTCTTAGTTTTATCACATTGTTGGGTGTGGGCTAGTCGAGCATGACTTGCATCTTGGTGTGATCCAACTTGACCCCTTGCGGTGTGATAATGTGGCCCAAATACTCTAGTTCTTGCTGGCCAAATACACATTTCTTGAGTTTGATGAAGAACTTGTACAGTCCCAAAATCTCAAACACTTGTCAGATGTGTGATAAATGTGAATGCCAGTTAGGACTGTAACCTAAGATGTCATAAAAAAATACCAGTACAAATTGACGCAGACAAGGCCGAAGAATAGAATTCATAACTGCTTGAAATGTAGAAGGTGCATTACACAGTCCAAAAGGCATTACCAGGTATTCGTGGTGTCCGTTGTATGTCCGAAAGGCTATCTTGTGGACGTCCGGCCCATGCACACGAATTTGATGGTATCCTGCTGTTAAATCTAACTTTGTGAAATAAGCTGCTTCATGTAATTCATCTAACATGTCTTCTACTATAGGAATAGGAAACCGATCTTTAATGGTAACTGTGTTGAGTGCCCGGTAATCGGTACCAAAACGCCATGTACCATCCTTTTTTTTTTTACCAAGAGAACTGGTGATGAGAAATGATTGGTACTCGGCCGGATGAGACCGGAACGGAGCATTTCGGCTATATGCTTTTCAATTTCAGCTTTCTGAAAATATGCATACCGATAAGGATGGATATTGATCAGGTCGATACCTTCCTTCAAGCTGATCTGGTGGCTTACTTTCCAAGCTGGTGGCAGCTGATCTGGCTCCTGAAAAAGCTCTGAAAACTCCTCCAACAGCAGTACACCGTCGAATCATCCCTGACACCGCATGGGACTCCCATCCGCTATTTTGATAGAGAAGGGTTTTGTGGGCATGACGGGAAGCCTCAATCGACTAGTCACTTTTTCACTAATAAAATTGTGTGTAGACCCGCTGTCGATGAGGGCAATAACGGGTTGTTGCCGAATCGTAGCCTCGACTCTCAGGGTGCGGACAGTAGCCCAACCGATGAAGGCATGTAGCGAGATTTCGGGTTCACCAACTTCTGCCTCTTCGTCTTCGTTCTGTCCTTCTTCGAGTAAGAGCAATTGTGACTTTTGACATCGGTGGCCCGCAGTGAACCTCTCATCACAATTAAAACATAAGCCTGAACTTGCCAGCGCTGCATTTCTTCCCAAGAGAGACGCTTCGGGGCGGCGGTAGTGGAAACTAGGGCACGGGAGGCTTGCTCGGATAAGGACGAAGCAGATTGTATCCGCCCCGTGCAGTTCAATCTATGTTGCCGACCCACTTGTTCTTCTTGAAAGCGGGCCAGCCCAATGGCATCTTTCAGTGTTCTGGGCCAGAACATGCGATCTCTGGTTTGAGCCCAGACATGAAGGCCCCAACTAAGGCCCGTTGAGTCCATCCGTGGACCCTGTTGCCCAATCGCTCGAAGCCCCGCTGGTAGTCGTGTAAGGGCCCCGTCTGTCGGATACGGGTCAGGGCCTCATCTGGGTCTTCGAAATCCATTAGTTCGAACCGGACCCATAATTCTTCCACGAACCCGGTCCAGGAGATCTTCCTTCCTTCATCTTTGTAGGTGCGATTCACCCACTACCACCATTGGTTGGCCTCGCCTTCTAGGTGGTAGGATGCCAAAGCCACCTGATGCGGTGCGGCAATGCCTTAGAAGTCGAAGTACTGACTGGCTCGACTCAGCCACTCGGTTGGGTTT